TGAGCTACGAGCTCACGGTCTAGATGGTATTAGATCGGGAATATACAGTGGCCTGTATACGTATACGTTTACTGTATACGTAACGCACTTGTCGGCGGCAGATCCCCGACGCACCGATAACAGAAAATTCTACACATGAGCACAATTTTTATGAAATAAATCCTTAGCAGCGATGCTTATTCTCATTTATTCATCCCTACTGCATGTAGATTTAAAGCAACGGTAGCATAGGTAACAAACTGACATACAGAACAAACCAATTAGATTTTGTTTATTTGACCAAAATTACCTACCTCTACGTAACTTTGCAAGGTCACTTTGTGTTGACAACACGCTCGAAAAGCTGACAATGTGTTCACGCGGCGTAGCGATGCTTCGAAAATCCAGATTTTTTTCGGACATTATCGTTCGAAATTATACTAAGCTATTAGCCGCAGAAATCAACCCTAATATGAAAAAATTGGAATATGCCGTTCGTGGGCCGATTGTGCAAAGGGCTGGGGAAATTGAAAAAGGATTACGTCGGGTAATTATTTTTTTTGTAAATCACCCCCCAAAAGGGTGACAAAAAAGCATTTGACAGTGTTATAAAGTGCAATATTGGAGACTGCCACAGTGCCGGACAAACTCCAATAACATTTTTGCGTGATGTTATTGCTGTTGCAAGTAATACTAGACTCATGGACTCTCCGTTGATTCCTGATGACGCCAAACAGAGAGCGAAACGATTTTTAGATAGCACCGGTGGAAGCGTTGGTAAGAATGTCGAGTCCTTTATTTGGAGTTTTTAAATGCAACTCTGCCATTTTATGTTTTAAATTTCCTGTTTTCTCATTGCAAGTTGTTACTTCTGGGTTCAAAGGCAACGAGAACCACGAACATTATGATTAGTTTTTTTGCAGGTAGTCATAAATGATCTTTGAACGTGGCATTACTTGCTTTGTAATCGTTAATTAGTTTGTTTTTTAAGTGTTAGTTTAATATTTTGTATTTCGTGTTATTTTGGAATACCTTCGAATATTTGCATTAACTCTACTTGTCTGACAACCTGAGTGGGGAGTTATTACTATCGTATGTGGTTGAAGTTGAGTATTGAACAATAACAAGTAAAAGTCATCTCTTAGGTAAAATGAATCGATTATCAACTCAGCTATACTACTATTCAGGATTCAAGTTAGATACCTCAACATATAGACAGAAATATTTAGTTACATGACGAGAATTGTTACTAAAGATATGAGGCTTTGTAACACAATAACGTACCACATCTCCAAAATGTTTATCTTGTTTATGTGTTGTGAAAGGAGCCTGAAGATTTCTATTGATATAATGATCCCTTAACGTGAATTTTTTTATTTTGGCTACCCACAGTTATAGCCTTTGCTACAGTGCTTCTGTTACGCCGACTTATAGACTTCAGGCTCGCAAAGCCTAAATTGAGCTTGCCATTCATTGAATTCTTTAAGTCAAAGAAGTTTCTCCATTCTGAAATTTCAGCGAGTGTCGCGATCTGTCGTGTATCTAGTACCTCTCCTCCGATTGCGTATATTTGCCTATCTCGATTTTATCAAAACTTCTATGTCTGCATTTGCACTGCATACAGTACAATTTGTCGTGTAACGAATGTAGGTGACGCTTTTAAAGCGTTTCAAATGTGTTAAAACAGCTCATATATTTTATGCTTTCTGCTAAGTGAAATTTGCCTGAACCATAGTTGTTTTGCAAACTATTAATAAGTTTTTGCTCTTCGTTTGCAAGAAACCGCTCCACAGCTGCAGCTGTGGTTGATTATACAATTATTACTTTTAGCGGCATTGAGTTCGAAGTATTATTAATATCAAGGAAAATCAGTCTATTAAGTATTGAAAATGTTACAAGTAAAGCTCTTAGAAAAAACTCTTGCCGCCTTTTAGTACCATCTGATCCCGATTTATGATGCAAATACAATATAGTCATACCAGGCCAACAATTTCATAACAGCATGGACAGCTCTGCCTCTCTTACCTATATGGGCTTTTTCCGCTAAAATCCTCCATAAATATTTAACATTTTCGTTCATGAATAGTTTAGTGATATCAGAAGTTAAACTATGACATGCTAAGTCTAAAAAGGACCCCTGGTCACTTTTAGAGGCATTATACGCTCTCCGTTTGTTTATAAAGCCTTTGCTTATAAGGTCCATGCATTTAAAGCTTGCAACGGATGCTTGCAACGAACGATTGTGTCAGTGTAATCAGCATTATAGAAATAATCTGACTGCTTTCTATTCAAGGATTTCCGAGAACTTTAAATGGTAACTAAAGTAATGAATTAGCGTACGTCTATTAAAGCTGTGATCCATATTTATTTAAAAGTTTCATGAATATGTGGATAACTCTCAAAATTGACACAGCACACAGATGTAATAATCGATCTAATTTACAAACATAGATTACTTGATAAAGTTTTCGATCTCTGAGGAGCCATTGTTTACCTACAAGTGTTTAGTTCGTTGCGTTTCGTATAAAGTACTATTCCTTTATGCACCATTTCCAAACAATATATTTGATATTTTTTAAAGATTAAAGGAAAAACCCGTTACAAGTTCACAGTTATCTTAAACAAAATCGACTTCTGAAATTATTGCAAAGGATGCTTCTTTGAATGACAGAATTCTTGCGTGCATACTCTTCTCTAAAAGTTACCTCAATTCGTTTACTCTAGCGGAATGAAATTTAATTGTTGTAGTTGATCATTTAACTAGATTTGCCATTAACTAGAGGCATCCTTCTCATTTAGCTCGCTGCATTTAGTGGCATCCAACGCATAAAAATGATGTCGAAATTGAAAAGTGGTATTCGTATACTGACGAACGTCCACCGACCTCTAACATTACTGTTATTCCAGGTTTTTCGGGGCAATATGACCACAATTGTACAACAAAATTGATATAAAAAAACCGTTGAAGATTCTGGCGTGTAAACTAGCAAGCCATTAGTTGGCATCAGATAGCAGAAACCAATTTTCTCAAAGCACGCCATGATTTTTAGCTCATATCTAGCTCTATATAAGTTAACCATAGATGATGTGCTTATTATATTTTTTTATTTTGTGCTTACTTGCTATTTAAGTTTGCCTTGGGCACCAAATGCACAGGATTTAGCTGGGTAATTTAGTTTTACGTAAACATTTAGGGACGTATTTTCCCGTAAGGGTTCTGTCTTAACAAAATGATTCATTTTTCCTATAAAAAATTTAGAGAATTGGCTTACAGCTAGCGTATCCGTCTGATTTCTCTTTATCTTTGAAGGTTATTATCTACTGCGTTTATTATCTTTGCCATGACTTTTTCAGAGGCCAAAGCATTCGTTTAATACACACACGGCTTATATCACTCGTTTCACTTTGTGGGATATAATTTAATTTAACCTATAAAGTTTAAGTCTGCCAAGGAAGGGCCTAAGAGTAGCTTTGACATCCTCTTTCCTTCTTTGCGCAATTGTTCGTATCACATTAAGAGTGGATAGGTTCTTAATTTAGGTTACTATGTAGAAAAAGCAGTAAAAGTAAACTATTTCCGGTTATTAATTTTCAAAGGATGGATGGGGATGGATTGAATCCCCAGCTGTTGGCCCTGTTATTCAGCACGATCCACCCTGCACATAGTATATTCTTAACTGCAGTAACTGATACTGTTCACTTCTGGACCTGTTAATTCACCTGAAGCAACTCCCACTCATCGCTTCTTGCCTTGGGACTCACCTTCCAGCCTCATCAACAGCCTCACTGTGGCTAGTATTATATACAGAGGAACATTGGTAACAATCTCGGCAATGTTCACCTGTCTAGATCTGCCATTCTGCTGCTGGGAGCAAGCGGATAAAAATGGAAAGGCGAATTCCAGGAAGCAGTTAAGAATATGTTAATTTCATTTTTTATGATTCCGGATTCACAATCTCTTATCAGCAATATCATCAGCATCAGAAACGGCAGTATTTATATAATTCAGGTGTTTTGCAACCACACAACTAATGAAATTAGTATCCCTTTGCAGTAAAAAATGCTCGTGAATGTGATGATGACTGCCTCATCGTCCGCATTCTAGTCTTAAATCGACGCGATGCCATATCCGCTGTTGTTGATTGGCGTACTAATTACGTTTCAATTTTGAGGAGCGTTCTCGAATCAAACGAAACCGCGGGTTGTATATAAATCAAGCGCAACAATCAGATCCTCAGTGATGAGGCCGATGGATCTGCTGCCACGATGAGTAACGGCTGCAGTTGTGAGCAAAACAGTTCATTGGATAAACTGGAAGCTCACTCTGGACGTGGATGGTCAATCATAAGGCAGCAGTGGGGAAGAATATTATAAACTCTCGAGTCAAGACTCATTCAACGTGGCCGAGCCCCACCCTAAAGTTCGACAAGTTTGAAATTCTCACGATGGGTGTAAATCGCTGTTCTAGTCCGGAGTTTCTTGTCTGCGGTCAATGGACGAATGAAATCACTCCTCCCCCGCTTATCTGCTGTAATTTTGCAAGGCACTTAGTCGCGCTGGAAGCCTGTGGATTTAACTTGCTTTCAGCGGCAGTAATTATGAGTCAAATGGTCCCGTGACTATCACACTAGCCACTG